GGGTAAACCCCTGGCTGCCTCGGGTCCCACACTCGGGTGGAGGTGAAGACTCACAAGTTAAGAGTGTTGACTGGGAAGGGCACAGGCTGGAAGCCTCCAGCATCCACGTGCTTTTACATGAACATCAGGCCCTCCCTGCCTCCAAGGCTCTGTGTCATTTGCGTTGCCCAGGTGAGGGCCCCAGCAGGTGGGGCTGATGGTGAAAATGCTGCCGGTAATATCAATGGTGACCCTGTGGTTTCCATTCGTTCTGTGCTGAATGCGGTCCCTCCATATTTCTCCCCATCCACAGTGAAGAGACCTCTGGGCCTAATTCTCCCTCCTGGCCCCAGTGTCCTGTGTGGTCACACACTTCCAGTTGACCAGGACCCAGCGGTCTAGGAGTGATGCTCTGAATAGACCCGGGCACCTTCCTACCTTAGGGGTCAGCCTCGCATTCACATGGGCAAGGGACACCCCTCTCCAGGGACGTCCACTTCCTCATTCCTAGTGGGGGTTAAGAGCCTAGAAGTCTTTCCCCTCAGCTCCCCCCACATACACCCACCCACTCATTCCTTCCCAAGGGACCTGGATCCCCAGCCCCTCCACGAAGCCTAGTGTCCTTCACACACACTCCCCATGCACACTCTCTAACTCCAGTCTGCCATCAGAATCTTCCCTAATTCCTCCCCTTCCCACAGCCTGGGGTTCTATGAACTGACCTTTCACTTCATCCATCCCTGAGGCCTGAGAGGGGCCCCCCTAGAGGACAGCAGAGGCTGGAAGAGCAAGGGCAGAAGGGGCCCCTTCCTGACCCCTCCAGAGAGTGCCTAGGCAGCTGCCTGTGTCTGGAGTGCACAGACTCACAGGGAAACATACCGACACCACAAGCACAGAAACACCCAGGTACAGGACACCCTCAGCCACAGCTGGACACTCAGGTGCAGGGCTTAGGCCAGGATCACACAGACACACACTGCAGACACAGGGAACACCTTGAGGAGAGAGCGCGCACACACACACACACACACAATGCAAACACACGCGCACACACTAGAGCAGCCATACACGGACATAGAACACAGACAAAGAGAACACAATACACACATCAGGGACACCCAAAGGGACAGCCAATTCACACATACAACCAACAGGCAACATGCAAAAAAAAT